GATGGGATGGGATGGGATGGGATGGGATGGGATGGGATGGGATGGGATGGGATGGGATGGGATGGGATGGGATGGGATGGGATGGGATGGGATGGGATGTGGAGCTGCCACGCCGTGTTCTCCCACCCCCCCATCCCTCCGGCATCCCCTCGCCGGCACGGCGTGGGTGCCACTCACCCCTGCGGGTGGCTGGGGACGCCGTGACGCCCCACGGTGAGGTGGGGCCCCCCCAGCTCTGCCCCTCCCAGCAGGCAGATCCGTGCGGAAAAACAGGTCAAGTTTGGTGCCTGGAGCAGCCCGGGGTCATGGCAGCGGTTGCCTCACCAGGGCGGGGAGATGAACCCCAAAAACGGGACATGCTGTCCCTCCAGTGTCCCCAGCCCTGTGTGGGTACAGGGCTGGCACTCCCATGTACCCCTCCCTGGGAAACTGAGGCCTGAAACACCCCCCACACCAAGGCAGGGGGGCTGTGGGGGGCCTCAGGACACCTGGGTCCCCCGTTGAGGCCACAATGGGGAGGCTGGGGAGCAGGGAGCAGGCGATGTGTCACCCTGTCCCCGTCCCTCCCACAGCATGTGCCCGGGCACAGCAGTACAGGGAGTGTCTGGCATTCCCGGTGCCCGCTGGCTGCCTGCCCGTGGGAGCAGCAGCAGCAGCAGGAGGAGGAGGAGGAGGAGGCGCAGGGATGATGGCGGGGTCACTGCCACGCTCCCCTCGCCCTTCCCGCAGTGCCACACGGGGCTGGTGGCATCTGCGGTGGCACAGGAGCCCGCAATCCCCGGCTCCTGGAGCCCTCCCCGAGCCCCCACATCCCCGGCTCAGGGCTGGGAGCCGGGAGCTGGGAGCGTGCCATGTTCTCTCCATCTGCTCCTGATGATGCTGGCGGGTTTTTTGGCAGCGGGAGCCTCCTCCGGCAGCGAGAGCAGAACCAGTCTGGCTGCCTGGTGGGGCTGGAGACAAATAAAACCCCTTGGCAGCCGCTGCGGGCAGGCAGGAGCGGGCAGCGAGGGGCAGGGACGGGCTCCCAGCACCCTGAAATCCCTGGGCACGGGGTACCGCTGTCGGGAAAGGGGAAGTGGGCAGGTTCAGCACCTTGGCTCCTGGTTGTCCCCTTCCCAGCACCTTGAAAGGCCTCTAATGAGCGCGGAGTGCCCTTGGGAGCAGATTGCCATTGAACTCGACCTGCACCAGCCGCCTGCTCTCACAGCAGCTATTTTGAGCTGCCGGGCTCCCAAGTGCTGGAACTAATAATTTATTACCAAATACGATCAGGCAGCAGCTCCAGCCCCTGGCAAATGGAGCGGAAAAAAACCCAGTGCGGCGGGAAGCCGAGGGAGCGGGGAGAGACGAGCATCCTTCATCCTCCTCCTCCTCCTCCCCCGGGATGGATCCGCACCCACCCCGCAGCACCGCAGCTGGGATGGAGCCCACTTGGCCGAGCCCTCTGGAAAGCTCCAGCACGCTCCCCGCTGATGGTCCCCCCCAAGGGATTTGGGGTGATGAGGGTCCCCCTCAGCCTTTCCCCCCCTTCTCTCAGCGCCTCCCGCTCCGGAGCCGCATCCAGCTGCACGCTCCGAGCAGGAACAGCTGCTCCGCATGGATTTTCAATGCTAATGGCCTCGCATCGCCAGCCCCCCCTTCCCTCTGCCTGAACTGCAGCGGGCAGAGCCCCAGCACGGAGGGCAGGGGGCCAGGGCCAGCCGTGCCTGTCGTCACCCTGTCACACACCCTGCCACACACCCTGCCACACACCCTGCCACACACCCTGCCACCCCTGGGGCAGGGCACAGGCAGAGGTGACCAGCTCCTCTCCCGGCGATGCCCTGCGGAGCCGCCGCACGCTTTCCACCCCTCATTAGAGCGGCTCCACACCTCCAACACGCTCCATTAATTAATTAATTGATCGATCCCAGCCTGTGCTCCTGCCCCATCTCCCCACTTCCCAGCACACACAGCTGAAACCAGGGGAGGTGGCCGGGCTTGGTGTCCCCAAGAGATGCAGGCGCAGCCTCTGTCCAATTTTAGGGCGCTCATGGCAGAACCCAGGGCCCATCCTGGGAACACCCCCCATCCCCTCGGCGGGGCCTGGATGGGTTGCCCGTGGTGAGGAGCACCTTGGCTGGGTTTTGGGGCTCCTGTGGAGCCTGGCACGGCACCGAGCACCCGGCACTATCATCCAGCTGGGCCTCCATCGATCACTCCTCCATGGA